TGTGACAATGAGTGTGTATATGTCCATGAATGACTGAAAAATTGTGCTGAACACTGGAATTTGACACAACATTGTAAAATGATTATAAATCAATAAAAAATGTTAAAAAAAAAAAGAATGAAAAAAAATGTCGCTTGTCGTGTAGTTCTACAAGAACGAAGTCAGACTCTGCAGTCGCGTACCGTCAACACACCTGGCAGAGTGCGGGCAGAGATCAGGAACGAGGTGCTCATGCTCTGGGAAAACTGGCAGGCAGGCCCTTCAGATAGTTAGGTATTTTCAGGAGAAAATTATACAAGCCCAAACTCTTGCATCTTCCTGTGCTTGGAAAAGCACTAAAACCGTTAAGCAAGGTATCTGTTCCTCATGGCTAGCAGCCATCTCCCTACGGAAATGTGTGCTTGGTTGCATGTAACCCCTTTGCCAAAGTCACAGATATACTGATCTTACCCCCTTCTTTAGAGAGGTTCCTCAGAGCTTTCTGAGATGCTATAGTTCTCAGCAAGTCCCCAGGTAAAATTGCAACTCACAGCTCTCATGTTGTCTGTTTTTAATTCAGTCGACAAGGAATGGGGGTACCTCGAAGGTCACGAGCATAGCACACGCAGGGAAGCGTAGGGCATGTGATAAGAGGGCTATAAACGTTAGCCGTCGTAATGAGAGCAGAACTTTGTCTATTCACAGCAGTCTTCCTAGTACCTAGAACAGGGAGCACTCAGATAATTTCTGAATGAACCTGTGTTTTATTTGTCAAAAACTCCTATTTTTTCCTGTTCCTCTTTCTGTCTGGACAGCCCTCCCTCCTCTCCTTGGCCTGGCTAACTCCACCTCATCTTTCAAGACTCAGAGTCTCTCGTTACCTGTTCCCACTCCATCCCATCTCTCCCCTAGGTTTCCCTAGCACCACATGCTTCCCCATGGCAGCCCTGACTTGCCATGGTCTGTCCAGTCACTGGCCTATTTCCCCCCAGCAACCAGGAGCACCTAAGAGGCAGAGGCTGACATGCTCACCTTTGTGTCATCAGGGCCTCCATTATAATACACACTGGGCCCCTGAGAAGTGGCTGGGCTGTTCTTTATATCCATTGCTATTGATATATCAATATAGCAGTAACATGACTGAGCACCCACTGTGTGCCAGGAGCAGGTATTAACTCATTTAATTCTCAAACAACCTCTGAGGTTAGTGCTACTACCTTTATTCCCAGCTCACAATAAGGAAACTTCCCCAAGGAAGTTTCACATACCTCCTGAGTGGTTGAAATGGGATTTGAACCTAGGAATCTGGCTCCAGAGCCTTGACCCTTCACTGCCAAACTCCTCTGCTATCAACCTGGCCAGGAATTATGAAATGACTTGGGAGGATGAGAAGCAATTTCTGCAGGTGACCACTTAGAAGACATGTGTTTGGGGAAGGAATTCAGGACAGGCCACCCCCAAAGTATGCCACTTTGGCATATTGATGATTTTGAACTGAAGGCACTTGAGAAACAGCAGATGCAGGAAAGGCTCTCTGACCTGCCCTTTTCTACCTTAAAATAGGCCCTAAAATTTCCCACAAGAGAGAGGTGCCCTCCCTGTAGCGGGAAGAGAACATCCTTATCACCAGAGGGGAGTCGGTGCCAAGACGGATCTGTACAAACACACTTACTAAAATAACCCGTATCTTCTACTAGTTTCCCCTACTTAGCACCCAGTCACTTCCCTACAATTCACTGTCCCTACCTCCACCCCTTTGCCTTGTCATTTCTTAATAAATTTATCATTCCTTTGTCTAGAAGGTGTATGAGCTTTCTGCCCTGGGCTCTTCCTCAGGTCTTCATTTTCTTGTGAAGGCTCCCATGTACACATAAAATTTTAACAAAACGTGGATGTTTTTCTCCTGTTACTCTGTCTTGTGTCAGTTTAATTATTAGGCCCAGCTGGAGATGCTAAATTTTTCCTCCCCTGCAGGGGCC